AAAAATGTTTTGTAACTACTATAAAAGAGTGACCTACCTTTTGCTGGTGAATTATTGTTGTGAAACATTCCAAAAGAGCTGTTAGGTTTCAATAATCCTCACAGAATGGCAAATGTCCAAAGTTTGTTTTGCTATGAGAAAACCCAGAGTACATAAATGGACTGTGTTCATTGAAGACGCCTTGCTTATCTTCGTTGTTCCTTCTGTGCTAGTAAGATCATCTACAAGTTGCACCAATAAGACAGGCCTGGGTGGGACCTGCTGCAGAAGTACCCTGTTGGCATTCACGTGGCTTCACAAAGAGGCTGATTGTCCACCTTGACAGAAGCAGCTGCCTAGCACTAGTGCATAAGTTTGCACTCCCTGTGGGAACCTGAATTATTTCTGCAAGGCTTAGGGACTTCATTTGAGGCCCGGACCGAGGAATGCTAAGCTCTCCGGTTTCAGACAACAGAGAAGGTTCTGTCAGCTCAGAAGAAACCCTCCATACAGGCATGTGTCATGAGACCTGAATACTTAAGTACAGACATTAACGTCAATCAGACACCTCACCTGTTTTCATCAAAACATCACCTTATATACAAAGGTTAAAAAAGTGGCTTTTCACAGAAATGCATATCATTTGCTTCTACTGGCCAGAGTTTCTGATTTTGGGTTGTCACACTTAAACAAATAACATTTAATTAACCTTCTAGAAACAACAAAACAAAAATCCTTTTAAAATTTTACTTAGAGTTTAATATGCCAAACACTTAAAAGAACTGCAGAAAAGAAATTAATCTAATTGTAAATTTTACAGTTCAAACAGCTACACAGATTATTAGATTATTCAATTAAAGCTGCTGTAAACAAAACGTTTTCCAGTCTTGATTCTGCACAGCTTAGATTTTCAGTGAGTGTAGGATATAAATAGCTTTTATTGTAAGAAAGTGGGGAAACTTAGGTGTGTTAGCAGCAAACACAGGCGAATAGACACATGTGAATAAATTGTAGCATGGCTCTAATATTCAAAATCCAAAAAAATAGAAGCTGTAAAACACAACATGGTAATCTGACCAACCATCTCCTCCTGTCTGAGCCGCTCGGTGCCAATGCAGAGCCGCTCCGTGAGATGTCGTTGGCGAGAAATAGTGTTAAAGACGTTATTAGTGTTTGTAACATTTCTTCACAAGCCTGTAAAGCAGTTAAAGAATAAAAATAAAAATTTAAAATTAAAAAAGACAAGATAAAATTCAAAACATAAGAAAATAATACTGCACAGATCTCAACAAAAGTTACAGTTCATCTCACTCAGATTAGATATGAAAAGAAATAGTACATACAAAACGAACAAAACTGATTTTTGGTCAGATATGCATGATTTTGGGCTTAATGGGCAGAGAAAGTCAATGCTTAAGGCATCCTGCCAGTCATCACATTTGTTGCGCTCTGAAGAAGAAATCACATTAGCTTCTATTTTAATGGAAGTCTTCTTAGCCTGGCCCTTGCCTTACATGCAATTCAGCTAAATTCTAATCTCTTCACAGCACAGTATGGGCTTTCCCCTCATAGATTCCGATTTCTCTGGTAAAGTTTTTACTGGGCCAATTAGAACAGAAGAAGTTTTGAATGGTGATGTTTTCTTCCTTCCCTTCCTTCTTTCTTTCTTACCTACAACTGAATATAGCCTATTGTGTTGCCATATTCATATTCTATTACAAACAATATAAAAGACTAAATGTAAAAAACAAGCTTGGCAGCAACAACTGGATTCAAGCCTTTGTGATAATAGGCTTTAAAAATAGCCTATTATATGAAAAGAACTGTATATAAATTAAAAGAACTGTTGTCGGTAAGTCAGATGGTAAAAGGCAAATTATATTCATGTGAATATAGCCTATTATCACAAGTTATTCATAGCCTATTGTGTAGGCTATGGTCATAAACTATTATGACCATAGGCCAAATTCATCTTTCCAGTGAATCTTTTTATCATGATAGAATAAAAAACACTAAATACATTATTATCAAAAAATATAAATAAATTGTTGTAATTTTTGTGTTCAAATCCTCCCAAAGGCACTTTGGGAGGATTTCACTTCCTTTCAGTTCACAATTCATGAACTGAAAGGAACCTAATAGTCTATGAATAACTTGTGAGAATAGGCTAATAATTTAGCCTATTATCAAAGGCTTGATTCCAGTTGTTGCTCCAAAGCTGTTTTTTTTTCACATTTACATTTAATTTTGTATATTGTTTGTAATGTTAGCCCTCCATTAGAGATATTTTAACTTAAATTGCATTTTCAGGGGAGCAGGTATATTTTCTTTTTCAAGTGACTGTATGCTGCAAATTATTTGCAGGGCTTTTGGACAAGATAAAGATGAGTACTTACCACTAGATACAAATACAGGAATGCTTCCCTTCCATTAGGTACATTAAGCCACACCTTGAGGGAGGAGTGGCCTGCAGATACATCACATTCTCTGTATGGCTACTTTATAGAAGTGTGCTGCCTTTCATTGATCTGCTGCTTGCCTTAGCTTTCTCAGAAATAATATCATCAGATGTCACAGAGCTCACCTCAGCTGTCAGTCCACAGCTGCTGACATTCAGAGAAATTGCATGTAGAAATAAAGAAACCTGGAGAACAAGATATGAAGAGAGGTGGGGGTAGGAAAGAAAGGGAAAGCACCAGGTCTGGTTTCTGTACGGAGTATTTTCTCAGTGGGTACAGAGAGGCACGGTGATAATATCCAATGCAGTTGCTATGCAAAAACCTGCCACATTTAATATGCTCAGCCTTTTCCCTAATTAGCTAATTAGTACTATATAGCTAATTAGCTTTTTTTATCACTTTAAAATAGTTTATTTGTACAAGATAATGCAAAATCAAAAGTAGATTTCTATAGTTTTATGGAGCTCTATACTTTCCTTTAGGGTCTTGGTTGAAAAACATCCTTCTAATGGTGCACTGGAGCAGAAGCCCACTTTGGAATTGAAATTAAAAGAAGTGTTGTCGGTGAGTCAGATGGTAAAAGGAAAATTATATTCATGTGAAATCCTGTTAAAATTGCAGTTTCTCTTAATGTGGCCTTTGTGATTTGACCACAATCAGTTTGTGCTTGAATCTAATTGACAATTTTTTTTCTCAACTGGAGAAAAAGAAAGTTAGTTGTGTCTTCAAGGGGATTTAAGCATTATTCAGTCTCACTGTGTGGGAGGTGTTTAGTAGCTCACTTTAGTGTAGCAACCAAAGACACTGTTTTTGGTATATAAAAAAAAGTGAAATAAAATAAACACACAAAAAACACACACATATTTTTTTTTTAAATATCTGTTTATAGTTCAGTGAAAATAACCTTAATTTGACCAAGATAATAACTCTATCTTTGGTGCTGTTTAAAAATCTGGGGTTATTTGGAGTTTTTGTCAACTCAGTGAACAACTGTGAGTTTCCAATCAAAGGCAAACTTCGGAGAGGGAACTAAACTTAAAGTTTTAGGTAAGATATACAGATTTTCTTGGAGACACTTTTCTGTTGCCTATCTCATCAAAATAATTATATTGCCATAGTTTCATGAGTAGAGTTGAGAAATGTGTAAAATATGAATTATGGTAAGTTTTTCTTTGTCTGCATCTACAAATGAAAAAAAAGCAACAACTAAAACTGAAATTTAATGTTAGTAAGAAGCAAAGGAATACATGTTTTTAATTTAATACAATAGCTGAATATTTAAATCTGGCATGTCCACATAGCCATGAATTTATCAGCCGAAACTGTTTAAAATTGTCAACGAGAATTTGAGTGTTTAAATTGAAACAGTGTTTCACTATCACACTTTCTCTTAGAGTTAAAGTGTAAAAGTAAACCGCCAGCTTGAGAATTAGGTGCTGCAAACAGATGAGTGCTTAAAATTACTTCCATGCTCAATATAGGAAGGAATTTTTAGTCACTTACTTATCTGTAGCTTTTTCAGAATTTAGCTTTTTCTACCTTACGAAGCTGAACCATCATGTACTATTTACTTCTTTCTGGGTATTTATGATGTTGGTTCACTGTTACCCTTAAAACCTCTGAAAAATATTGAATTTTTTAGTAAACAGAGGTTGGCTCTTTTTTACTAATCTTTGGAGTCAATCAGTGATACTGTATTTAAGTTTGTGGGTATCGCATTAAAAGGGTACATTGGGACTGTCAGACTTTTTTTAATTAAAAAAACACTGTTTATCTATCTTTTGTTCTTCACATTTTTGTACTATTTTGTGTACAAAAACGTGATATGAAATTTGAATAGACTATAGAGTTTCTTCAGAAGAATAAATGTAAATAAGGGCCAAACGGGTATGAAAAGGGGTATGAATACTTTTGCAACACATTATTAAAACTTCACTTTTCAATAATGTGAAGTTGTTAAAACTTCACATTAATAACTTCATGTCAAATGTTGGACACAAAAATAAGGTGCCTCCATCTGCTGGAGAGAGCTATCCAGTACACGAACACAACTATTTTTCCAATTGTGACAGGATTCAGGCTACACACTGTGTCAAGCTCTGGTTGTCGAATAAATCTTCTTCGAGAGAGTTTATTTCATGACATCTATTCTAAAAATATGTAGTGCACAATGACTTGGAACAAGAAGATACACATTACAAACGGCAACTCTTCTCTTGAATAAATGAAAGAGCTAACTCTTGTGTACTGGTCTGCGGTTTCCATATAAATTCAAAACAAAGGTAAGTAAAACAAATAATTTTGAAAATGCTCAGGAGCGACTGAGCATTACAGAATGGAGTTTAGCATTCCATTCTAAATTGTTTAGACAGAGTTCAGTCTCAGTATTATTTATGACAGGCCTAGCTTTTAAAATAATAGATTAAGACACTGGTATTATTTTGAACAGCTGAATGCTACACATGTATAGGAAAAACACTGACAATTTATTTCAGACATATAGTACAAGAGTTTATTAACAAAATTACATTAATTTTACAATCAAGATATTTTATTCAACCAAAATGCAAAACTCTCAACACTGTGAGGTCCAAGTAGCTCGCAGATCTGCAGATTCTGCAGATTGATATTGTCTGGACTATTGTCTATTATGACATACATAAAGTATTAACTGCACCTGGTGCTCCATGTAACATGGCCCTACCATTTAAAAGTACCTCTCTTTGGCTGAGAACAATCTCATACCCAATCCAATCACAAACTTCCTACCATGTTGGTTGGCTGCTGTCTGATGGGAATTCTATGGAGAGACAGAAATAAGTTGGTTATGTTTTAGAACCTCCACAGATCAGGACAAAGCAACAGATCACTCACCTGTTGCAATGGAACCTCAGCAGCCATGCTGATTACACTCACCTCTGAGACAGTAATAAAAAAGCAAAGAATCTGCAACAAACAGCAACCAGAAACCGAGTAAAACACCAGTGATAAAACTTTAATACCGAAAATCAACAAACCATTACCTTGATGGCGTTCATCGTCGAACTGAGAACTACCACACATTGACACACTCTTCCAAGCTTCTGTGTTTAGCAGACAAAGTCCACCTGCTCCTGATAAGATACAACATTTGTTCAACTAAGTAATTCCTAACACACCCACAAAAATGGAAAGAAAAGCTCCTGCAATGTTTGGGATAGCTGTGGTGTTGGCTTCAAAATTAAAATGTTTCATGATACCATTCCTACAGTTTAAAGTAACTTTAAGGCATCAGAAGAACTACCAGGGACTGGAGTTACCTTTTCAAATAGATCAGTGGCAAATAATGGTTGTAACAATCATATCATTGAACTACTGTTGCTCCTGACAGCAGTAGTTGTTAGAGTTTTGGATATATTTGCTGTCATAAAAAACATTGTCAGTCATAGTGTGAAAACTAATGGAGCAGACTTAACACTTTTATTAAAGGTATCCAGAATTACATGTTGGCCTAAAAATTTAGTGATTTTTATATGAACTAAAAAATTGCTGTTTGTGATATGTTAAAATTCATGGTTACTCATGGTCTTTTATTCTATTTTTCAACCATGATGAGAAAATGGAGGTCAGCATTTTCTCACCAAGGGGTTTTTCCCACATGAAAGAAAGATGAGCCCAGTGCAAGAGCCAAATTTTGAAGGACTTAATCTGTCCACTGGACCTTTCTCTAGAACACTCATTGGTCATTTGTAACAGCAGAACTAACGAAGGCTCTAACACTGATCATCGAGGGCCAGTGTCCTGCAACTCTTAGATGTCTCCCTGGTTCAACACACTTGAATCAAATAGCTGAGTCACCTCCTAAATGTAGTCAAGTTCTCCAGAGTCCTGCTAATAACCTCATTATTTGACTCAGGTTTGTTGAAGTAGAGATACATCTAAAAGTTGCAGGAGACTGGCCCTCGAGCCCTGGAGTTGCCACCCCTGCTCTAACAGGTGATCCTTACCTCAAGGAGCCAAAAGTAAATGCAGTGCACCCGCTGAGACACGCAGAGCTAGAAGCACAGATACACGCACTCAAAAATAATACACATACACAATAAAGTATAGGCGATAATGTTAGCTAGTTGATTAGATAACTAGGTTTTTGAAGAAGGCTAATATGTTGATCCGTGATTTGGGTTTCAGCCTTCCTGAAATCGACCATGACTCTGAGTTCTGAACATCTTCTAATTACTCCACATCGGTTCAGATTATGGGCTTAAATTTTTCTTCATGCTTGATTCTTCTCAAAGAATTGGTAGTTAAATTGTGCTTTTTTCCCCTCAACTTGTTTCCTGTGACCATATTGGCTATTTACAACAAAACATTTGATTGTTTTTTGTTTTATATATAATATAATATTTGATCAATTTCAAGAAGTGCTGCATCTTTCTGAGACACTTTTGGTTATTTCTGGCTTTTCAAAGTAAGATTATTTATTTATTTATTTATTTATTTATTTATTTATTTATTTATTTATTTATTTATTTATTTATTTATTGCCTATTTTGCCTAAAGAAGCTGCTCAATATTCATGCACACCTTGACATAATGTCTTGACCTCTTTAGGCCTCACTCCTACTGACTACACAGATACACATTACTTGCTGTGATTAAAGCCATTTACCTTTATGCACCTTGGAGTTAGAAAATATTCATTGAAAAAATGTCTTATGATCAAAATACTCACTTGCCAAATAATTGTGCACACAGTGCAGTTCAAAGCCTTTTGACATTCTGTGTCCAAACTGTGCATACACAGAATTTATACTGCTTATTATCCATTTAGCTAGTAGTTATGTCTATCTCCCCTTTTTCCAATCTTGTCTAGCTAAACCACTCTCCTGAATGGAAGAGATCAGAATTTTTACTGTAAATGTAATCCAGAAAGAAGATAATTCCAGCACTCATCTCTCAGCTTGAGTCTAAATTCTTGCCATCAGTCAGTGCACAGAAGTTAATCTCCCACTAATCCTTATTGTTCCTGTCTGTTCTGTTCATTTTAAAAACAAGGGCAAATAGATCATGTAACTCTATCTGTGATGGCATAAACCTTCTCCTATCACTGCACAGTTATTCCCATATCCTGTCCTACTTTAGGAGTAAGACAATCAGGTAAACTCTTAACAAAAAGTATGCTAATTTAATGGTCAGTGAGAAAAGTGCATAGAAAATGAAAAGTAAATTATTTAGTCAACTAAAAACTAACTCTAAATGAAACTGATAAGCCATGAAGAGCAAAATAATTAGTAGGAAAATAATGGGAAATTTAACTACCAACTATAATATCACTGTAAAATTTTAAAGATTTTGACAGGTGGCAATTGCTTTAAAATTTTTCAACAAGATCAAAAATGTTATCAAGCTTATATTTGACTGGCTTTCAACTTTTGGGAGTATTTTTGATGACAAAGTCTAAACTGAATTGTGCTGATGAGCCAGGGTGAGTAACGGACCTGCTGAATAACTCCAGACTGGCTATAAGAGCTAACTGTACACATAAAAAGACATGATTAATAAAATATTCTACAATAAAAGTATTCATACCTTTAAAATATTTTATATGTTGTCACATTAGTTATTTAGAATTTAATTTGATGGACCAATGCAGAAGATGATACATGATATACTTTTTTTTATAAGTAAAGAAAAGTATGCATGCATACTTACAATGCCTGTAAAATATTCTGAACACTTTGGATCTCTTACACTTTTTTGGAAAATAAAGTGCACCAAAACCAGCTTTTTATGTTACAGTGAAAACTGATGACAATCAAAAATAACATAAAATAAGTGACTGCATAAATATTCACTTATTCAGTATTCATTCAAAGTTCATTGAATAATGAAAAATTATGAATGATGAAACTAGGGTTCCATCCTGGAAGAAAAACATTCAAAAGACTTGACACTGGTTCAAAGATCCACATTTTATTAGATCAAAGAGACATTAAAATTACTACAGATGATCAGCAAATCTCCATCTGTAGAACAATTTCATGTACTTAATACAACATCCACTGGACAGAAAAACCCCCAAATTAAAAAATATTTATTTTACAAAGTTGTAACTAAATCATAATTTATCAAACTCCAAAACTAAGTCCAATTGAAAAGTAAAGAGGCTTTTAATTTAATATATTCACATAAAAAATTATGTAATGTTCAAATAAAATAACCCCGTCTATTATAACAAAATAATTACTTATGTAAACAGGGACATATAGAAAATGCTAAGTTATTTTTGCTGAAAGTATTTGCTCATACTTTGCAGAAATCCAAGAATTTAATCTTTTCAATCGTTGAAGTCTATTTATTTAAATACAAACCTAATCAACTCGTGTAAGACTATCAGTAGTTCATAATATTTCTGAAGTAACTGTAAAAGGTAGTGCAGCAAATCTACTCATAGATCCTTTTTTTCCAAAAAGTTGACTCAAATAAATGTAATACCCTCTGAACATAGATAATTAATCAATCAATCAATCACATTTTATTTGTATAGCACATTTCACCAGCAAGGCATTTCAAAGTGCTTTACATCATAAACACAAAAACACAAAGTCATGCAACATAAAATAAACAATACATTGTTACATATTACATTTCAAATACAATTCTAAACAGGTGTGTTTTTAGTTGAGATTTAAAGGAAGTCAGGGTTTCGGCTGTTTTACAGTTTTCTGGAAGTTTGTTCCACATTTTTGGTGCATAGATGCTGAAAGCTGCTTCTCCTCTCTTGGTTCTGGTTCTCGGGATGCAAAGCAGACCAGAACCAGAACCAGAACCTGAGAGTCTGGACGGTTGATACAACAACAGCAGATCTTTAATGTATTGTGGTACTAAACCGTTCAGTGATTTATAAACTAACAGTATTTTAAAATCTATTCTTTGAGCTACAGGGAGCCAGTGGAGGGACTTTAAAACTGCTGTTATGTCTCTATCTTCCTGGTTTTAGTGAGAACAGGAGCAGCAGCTTCTGGATCAGCTGCAGCTGGAGGATTGATTTGTTGGACAGGCCTGTGAAGACGCTGTTGCAATAATCAATGCGACTAAAGATAAACGCATGGATGAGTTTCTCTAGATCTGGCTGAGACATTAGTCCTCTAATCCTGGAGATGTTCTTCAGGTGATAGAAGGCCGACTTTGTAACTGTCTGAAGGTTCAGATCTGAGTCCATTACTACTCCCAGGTTTAGTAGTAATAACTGAAGCTGTGCATTGACTTTAGATCATTCCTCTTTAGGTCCAAAAATAATGAGTTCAGTTTTGTTTCTGTTCATCTGGAAAAAGTTTTGGCACATCCACACATTTATCTGTTCTAAGCATTTATTCAGTGATTGGATGGGGTCAAAGATCACCTGGTGACATCGTAATGTAGAGCTGTATGTCATCCGCATAGTTATGGTAGCTAATATTATTTTCTGTTATAACCTATAAAATATATAAATAAATAATAAAATAATATATAAAAAATATTGAATAAGAGGGGTCCTAGGATTGAACCTTGGGGTACCCCACATGTGACCTTTGACCTCTTTGATGAGAAGTTTCCAATTGAAACAAAGAAATCCCTGTTCTTTATGTAAGATTCAAACCAGTCGAGCACCGAACCGGAGTAATATGTCATGGTCGACAGTGACAAAAGCTGCACTGGGGTCCAACAGAACCAACACTGTGGTTCTCCCACAGTCCGTATTTATATGGATGTCGTTGAATACTTTGACTAGGCCAGTCTCCATGCTGTGGTGAGCACAAAAACCATATTGGAAAGAGTCAAAGCAGTTGGTCATCATGAGGAAACTATTTAATTGTTTACACACAGTTTTTTCAATAACTTTGCTGATGAATGGGAGGTCAGAGGTCAAAGGTCGGCCTGTAATTCTGCAGTAGTGATTTGTCCAGATTGTTCTTTTTTAGCAGTGGTTTGATGACTGCTGTTTTCAAAGCCTGGGGGAAAACACCTGATGTAAGCGATGAGTTACTATTTGGATCAGATGAGTAACAATAACAGGCAGGACTTTCTTAAAGAAATGTGTGGGTAGGACATCCAGACAGCAGGAGCTTGAACTTAATTGACTTATAATTTCTTCTAAGGTTTTATAAGTAGTTGAATATGGGTAATTTTTCCTGTATTTGTTTTGTTTGGGTACAGCAATGGTTCTGGCTTGTACACAACTAGTAGCTTATTTTTAACAGCTAGTTATTGTTTAATTAACTTCATGTGCATCCGACAACATTACTCAACTCACTTGGTTTGTTCAGAAAAGGACGCAAAGTTCTTTGCCTTTTGCTGGTTTGTTGCTATGATTCTAACACATACGGATGCACAGCCCTCCACAGAAGCATGTCTCCATCGCTGCTGCACAGGTTGACTCTGTGGGGGGGCAACATCGCCCAATGCCCACAAGTGAGGCCTGAGATGATTTGGAAATTATAGGTGCACAGAGTCACACTGCTGTCTAGGTGGATAAAGCCTGAGTGAGTTTCATGTCCAGTTAATCCATTAGAACAGACATATTTCTAGCTGCTTCTTGTTAGCATGCCGAAGTTTTCTGTGATTAGGCAAAAAAGCTGAAAATCCTACATATCAATAATTAGAGTCATACTGGAGTAGGTGGGTCTCTGGTCCTAAACCCCCATCACACTGCTTTAAGCACATGCACATATTTAATGAGTCCAGAGACAGTTGCAACATCAAGTTTGACTATTGGACTTCAGTAGCACTCTGTCTTTCTCAAACTACCCTGCAGTGGACTTCTTGTAAAAAGAAGTCAGCCTGACCAGCTGCCTGTTCTGATTTTGAAAATGAGAAAGAAACCTGACACAGTATTATCCTACTGCTGGAGAGAGTGCAGCAGGTCCAGAGTCAGTCTTCATAAGTCTTAGATTTATATTTACAGCCTTCTTTTTCTGTACTAAAAGCAAATAGAATAAAAACTGTACATGAGTTATAAAACATTTTTTTAAGATGGGGGACTATGTGAGTCAGCATCCCAGTTCTTCCCATGACTTTTCTTCCTGTTTCTCTCTGCCATCACCACAGCTGCTACCACAGTCACCAGGACAGTGACAGTAATTACAAGGACAGTGGCCGTCTCCGCAACACAGAGCTGGCTGTCCACCCAGGCCAGAGAAGCCCCCATCAGTTGTGGGGGGTCCTTGCAGGTCACATTTCGGTAGTCATCAATATGGAGGTAGCGAACATGTAAGATCTTGCTGAAGACACGATGTAGCTCACAGTCGCAGCTCCATGGGTTGCCTGGCATGGTAAAAATAACAGAGAGAGAAACAAGAAAGTTCTACTTTCAAAATGTATTTGACTTGTATCATTCTGTCTTATAAGTTAAACATATTCCTAATCTTCAAGTTTGTGAAGGGAAGGATGTCAATCTAAACTTATTTGTATCTTAAGTAAATCACTGCATTTCTATTGTCTCTCTTTGGTCCAAAATGCTTCCCTAAAGGTGTCATGTTGTGTGGAGGTTGAAGTGGACCTGTAGGGAAATATCAAACTGAAATGTGGCTTAATTTGAAAGGTTTTTTTTGTTTGTTTGTTTAGTCATTTTTATGTTCAGAAATAAAACTTTTAGATATCAAGTGGCTCAAAGCCTGAACCAGCCTGTTTACTATGATGTAAAATCTAGTTAGTTCACCTTACTTTAAAAATATTAAGCAAAAAATGTTTAAGATTAGTAAGAAAACCTCATTTATTTGAAGTAAGCAGTACTAAATCAATTAGTACAACTACAAAAAATGTAATTAAGTTTATGTAAGTTATTTGTAATGTTAACTTTTTTGTTTGTGTACTGCTTGATACAAATGTAACCCCACTTGAAAGGAATAAATACCCACATTTTTCAAGGTCACTTAAATTAAGCAAAATAATTTTATTGAATGAGTCCTTGCGCTTGCTCTGTTTCTTTCTGTCTCACTTCTTTTAATAAAGTTGCATTATCTCCAGTGGCCTTTATTTGAAAGTGGTCAGACATGAAAGTGGGTAATGAGAGAGGAGGAAGACATGCAAGCGAGCATCATCAGGCTGGGACTCAAACCTGTGAGAGCTGCATCGAGGACTAAGAGGCTTCCATAGGTGGGTTGTGTTTTACCCCTACGCCACCACAGCACTCCTTTCTCCTACTTCACAGAATTAGTTATTCCTTAAAATATTTGAAATACACAATTATATGCAAAAAATATTCAGTTTGGTAAAATACACAATAAGGATCAATTCACTCTCCCTTTTGATCATCACTGTCACTTGCAGGTGCAAAGGTTCCAGCTTGGGATTTTTGTAAGTAAAGAAAATGCAATTAATGCCCAACCTCCCACCCCCCAAAAAAATTGTTTGTTGACTGTGGTGACATCTCTACTATAGGTTGACACAAAGTTTTTGGCAGACATGTCAAAAACATGTCTGTTATTTTTGGGCACTAAAGTTAGCATATTGCTAACAGCCTGGCTTAAGAAAAAAATAGCCACAACTTAACGTATCTGCAAAGTTGCATAACTAAACGGCATTATAATCCTGGATTATAATGAAATATACCATGGAAAGTTAAGAGTACACTCTATGTTCACATAAATTTAGATAAAGATCCAAACTAAACAACTGGCCACTTTCGGAATTTACGTAAATTCTATAGGGAGGATTCTACAGAAAGACAGGGGTGCACTCCCTTAACTGCTAGACAGACAGGGGTCTGTCTGCTAGGCAATTAACAAATTATTTTAGTATAGTTCAAAAGTTTACTGGGACATTAAAACTGTTTTAAAAATCTTCTCCATACTAGACTTGAAATATATATTAAGAGATTAAGCATTAAACCACATGTTTTGAATTAGTTATTTTGTAATCATACTATTTGCATGTATTTTATATTACTGAATACAATAGATTTAGAAAACTACTTGACTTTAAAATATTTCTGATATTCTCAAAAAGAGTTCTTCTTTAAAAAGAAAACACTTTAGTTCTTAGATCCAAACTTATAGTTATTATTTAGTATTAGATTTTGTGCATTGTAAGATTAAAAATACAAATTATTTTCTTGTTGAATAATTTTGAGGCAGAGATAACGCTCCAGCTGCACGCCGTAAATCAGTCTGGCCAGGAGGCTGGTCAGAAGTAATAAAATTAACATTAAGACAGCCCTCAAAAAGGTTTAAAAAGCTTTGCTTACAACAGAGGAGTTGAATCTCTTTGTGCAGACTGGGGGATTCCCAAAAATGTATTTTTGTATCAGGTAATGCTATATTTTGTCATGTGTTTGACTTCATGATTATCTGGGAATGTTTGGTGGTCTGGTATTCTGTATGCATTGAACTTTTAGATAAAAACTTTTTGATATATCTGAAATCTGATGTCGTATGATTGCTTTTTCTCCCTGTGCACGCAAGACTCAAGAATCCGGGACAAAAGAGGAAAATTAACGAGCTAAATCAAGTTATTCTTCTTTTAATTCTCAACAGTGCCTGTGCCAGGTCTTATGGAGCCTCCTTACCAGTCAACTAATTTATCAATAAAGTCAAAAATGGCCAGAGAAGAATCTTTCAGAAAAGTTCTAATTAACCTGAAAGCTGAATATGTGTTGCTGTTGTGTGAAGATTGATGAAGGTCTTAAACATCAGGTGATGCAAGTTGTTTCCTTCCAGATTAAGAATCGCCAGACTATAGAGAGGAGCCAGAGCGTCAGAGTCTATCTGGGAGATGTTGTTGTTACTCAGCTGCAGCACCTAGACAGACACACAGGCACAAACTTTGTACACAGAGAATTATTTCCAAATCATGAGAGAAGATGTCCACATGTCTGATTTACATTCATTTTACACTCTTAATTATTACCATAATTCTTTTCACTCAGGACAGAGTAAACTACCACTGTTTTATCCTAGAATATATTCTGACAGTTCCTAAGAATTGATTCTATGCACTTATTATTTTTATATCCATCCATCCCATATATAACAGGCTTGTCTTTGTGGGATTTAGAGGGGTGCTTGTGCCTAACTCCAGCTGTTAGTGGGTGCAACTTTTTTAAAATCTTATCTCAAAATTAAATCAGAACTCCTAGAACAGTGGTGCCCAAAGTCATTCCTCAAGCGCCAGTATTCAGCATGTTGGCCCTACTTCAACACACCTTCAGGCTTCTGCAGACGTTTATGAGAAGTTTATGACGTGTCTGCTCCAGCACAGCTTATTCAAATCATCCATCTAAAACTGCATAACAGATAATAAGCTGGTCACCATTTCGCTAGATCAGGGGTGGGTTCTGGGATGGGCTCACTGGTGATCCAGATCTTTTTGATGTGTCCTAAATAAAATAGCTCAATAATTTCAGTATTCAGTCAAGTTCTCAAAAGTTCTGCTAATTATTTGACTGAGGTGTGTTGGAGCTGGGTCACATCTAAGGCTGGCAGAGCACAGGCCCTTTACAACTGGCGTTATACAGTAGTTAATTACAGTTTATATTGACTTTATTTACCTCAAGTCCAGGCAGCATATCAAGGCTGCCTTGCTCCACCACTGTCAGACTGTTGTT